ATATATATATATATATGTAGTGATAAAGTGAGTTATAGTGAGACATTCAGCACTCATTGATATGGAGAAAAAGAGGAGTACATGTGCCTGACAGAGGCACCTTTCTCAGACCTGGTTAATACGGGTTTGGTACCTAATGTCAGTATTGTGCAGCTGTTGTCCCATTACCCACCAAATGTCCATTTCCTATCTTGTCTTTTGTCCCTGTGTGATCAGTTCTACATTTCTGTGATGAATTCAGTCACAAGATTATTAAGATGCACCTGGTTCTTAAATTGAGTTGCATCTCTGTCACATCAGATTGCTGGTAGAGGTAAGATAAATGATTATATGGCCAGATGTTATGTAACGCTAAGTTCTACAATTTAAAAAAAACAATTTAAACACTTATAAGCACTCCTTCGGGATGATGATAAAACAAATCCCTTTATAGTGTGAAAACATGTCATAACAAATATAAGAAATGCTTCAATCAGCATGTAAATGTTAATTAAAATGTCAACCGTTGTTTTTTTGACCATATAAATCGGAGCTAAATTTAGAAACAGAATTAATTAGTTTGTCTGTAATGTAAAAAAATAAAAACTGGTGAGTGTTTCTCATCTGATCATAATGTAATTAATGTCATTTCTGCCTCATTTAATGTAATTTTATCTTCAGGAGTGACAGCAGGTTCCAGTCGTGTATTTTTAATTTTGATGGTAAAATCCATACTTTAGTTTTTGAAACCATAGCTACTCCATAAGAACCGGTTTCAGCCAGTCACAGCCGGTTTCTTTGCTTCAGGCTGAAAATGAGAGTGATAAGAAATATGATCTTTGTTAAGTCTCAAAATACCCTGTGATGGGTATCCACTATTTATATCCTACCATGCAGATCATTAGAAGGGCTTGTATTAAATAAGTATTTTGCATTTCAAATAGGCCATAATAAGTTAGTCAGGCCTAAATATTTGTCTTTTTTAAGAGGGTCTTATTAGCCTACACCAATTTTATCCTTCGTTTTGATAGATTTCACTGGTGCTTATGACGTGTATAGGCTATTAACAGTCGTGTTCGAAATTAACAGTAAACCTCAAAAAAATAGTTTTACCCATAAGCCACTTTGTTTTTCAGCGTTTAAAGTTTTAGAGAAATGTTGGGACAGGAGTAGACGTGTCATGTTCAGGTTCGCAGGTACACCTCTGTATCCTCCCACTCCCATCGCCTTGTGCATTATGTTTCAGTGTGTCTGCTCTATTGTTTTAGTCGGGGGAGCCTTCAGTGCTAAGGCAATGCCCACTGTGCAGTATTGCCCTATTTAACACCATTTAGCCCCCTTCAGACGGGCATCTCGCTATGTAAATTAGATTGCAGTTTAACGTGTCGCTCGCATGTCTGAGTGCCCAAGATATGGCGGAAATCTTACTTGGTTTGGTGTAGTGAAATGTCTGAGACGTGTCTGAATTGCCATTAGATTAACGTGAAGGCCACAGCAGCACAAGGTACAACACGCACAGAAAGAAATGAAACGCACATCCTCTTGTTCGCCTTACCAAGAGCACTCAATTATTAAGTAATTATTACTTAATTATCATCTTCTTGTTGCAAAAAGGAAACAAAATCTGTTTCTTAAACCACAAAACATTGTAAATGAGCCACTCTTAACTTGTCACATCAAAATTATTTTGTTTCCTCTTGCAGTGTGAGGAAATGGAAGAGAAAAAAATGTCCTTCCTCGTACAACCACAACATTAATCTGACCAGCTTTCTTCCTCCGAATATTGTCAGTTTCGACTAATGCAAACTGCATCGATTTATAAATTAATATCCAATATACATACGTCATTTGAGTCCCACTGAGCATGTTGTCATTCAGTGCATGTGTGCTGTCGATCTAGGGAGCAGATTTCTCTCTCTAATAAATCATGAAATTAATCAGATCATGTATTCACTGTGAGAAGAGGAGACGTCATTAAAGACTTCAACAACACAAGATTTAAATCTATCACTGATACTACCTGTGAAATATCAGAAACACTCTTCTTCTTTCATATCATTTATTTACAACTCACTATAGTGTACCAGGTACTAGATATTGTGTAAGTGTTGGCTCGGAAAAATCTCCTCTCTGAATAAAGCCAGAAGTAACATTTCTGTAACAGACACCTATGTGTGAATTACAAAAGGCCATCGCTTTAATAGTCTGCATGTGAGTGGAAATATGTGTATTACAGTGTAACTGTAACGCCAAATCCTGCTAGCTCCCATCCTCTCAGTAAATAAAATAAAGACCAGCACAAGACAGACATTGTGGGGGCGTGGCCTCGACACAGAAACAGCAAGCTAGTAGTCAGAGCCAACCACTGGCAGCTGCTGTCAGACTCTCCATATCCACGCTGGAAACTTAGACAGAGGGGCAAATTCATAAAGGGACTGAAGTTACAGTTCAATTATTTGGGTCTTCAGAGAGATGGTGGTAACCATAAAACCACAAAAAGTAACACAACTGCAGTTGCTCAAACGGTCTCTACCGATGTAAGTCAATGTCCATAAGGCCCCATATTAAAATGCCCAACTTTGCAGCAGAAATTAACATGTTTACAGGCTGGTTTAAAAAAATACACCTTTGGTTTCTATAGTAGTAAATGAGGAAGGTGAAAGTCTGAACCGCTAGATGCCAGTAAATCCTACACATTGGACCAGTGGCTGCTTCTTCTTGTTCCATTGCTCCCTGACATAATTATTTACAACTGATCCGATGTCAATAAATTATGAAAACAACCACTTTGTTTTAAACATTTGCCGCCAGCGTCAAGCTAACTGATAAACACTTCCTGTGACCGCCCAATCTTCTGCACAGTTTTCTCTTATCTTTCTTATCTTTAT